CCTGGAAGTCCACAGGCACCTACGTTGACGCGGTTCCCCCTCCTGGGGCGAACATCGTCAGTGGCATGTGGATCTTCAGGGTGAAGCGGTCGCCGGGCTCTCCACCTGTCTTCAAGGCGCGGTACGTCGCTCGTGGCTTCAGTAAGCGGCAGGGAGTTGACTACTTTCAGACCTTCTCTCCCACCCCGAAGATGACCACTCTTCGGGTGCTGCTGCACATAGCCGCTCAGCGCGACTACGAGCTTCACTCTCTCGACTTCAGTACTGCGTTCTTGCAGGGGAGCCTGCACGAGGAGATCTGGCTGCGCCGTCCACCTCGCTTCACTGGGACTTTCCCTCCTGGCACCCAGTGGAGCCTCCGACGGCCAGTCTACGGTCTCCGCCAGGCACCACGTGAGTGGCACGGCACACTGAGGACTACGCTTGCGGCCCTTGGGTTTGCTCCTTCTACTGCTGACCCGTCGCTGTTTCTGCGCACCGACACTTCACTACCGCCGTTCTACATCCTCGTGTACGTCAACGACTTGGTCTTTGCCACAGCGGACACTGCTGGACTCGCCTACGTGAAGTCCGAGCTGCTGAAGAGACACACGTGCACAGACCTGGATGAACTGCGCAGCTACCTTGGCTTGCAGATCACTCGGGACAGAGCACGCCGCACCATTACCTTGACTCAGTCACACATGGTGCAGCAGGTCCTTCAGCGCTTCGGCTTCACGTACTCCTCGCCTCAGGCCACTCCTCTGTCTACTCGCCACTCGCTCTCAGCTCTGCCTTCGGATGAGTCCGTAGAGTCGAGTGGCCCGTACCCAGAGCTTGTTGGCTGCCTCATGTACCTGATGACCTGCACACGACCTGACCTTGCATACCCTCTTAGCATTCTTGCACGCTATGTTGCTCCTGGGAGACACCGACCAGAGCACATGGCTGCAGCGAAGAGGGTATTGCGCTACCTGTGCAGTACGTCGGGCATGGGGCTAGTGCTTGGAGGGCGGAGTCAAGTGGTACTTACAGGTCACGCGGACGCTTCTTGGGCTGACGACCAGGCTACGCAGCGGTCGTCACAGGGTTACACCTTCAGCCTTGGCTCCGGCTCTGTCTCGTCGCGGGCTACTTGCTCGTCTTCGGTTCTCAGCTCGAGTTGTGAGGATGAAATCTACGCAGGGGCCATGGCTGCACAGGAGCTTCACTGACTCACCTACCTGCTGACTGACCTTGGAGAGCCGCCTCGTTCTCCTCCAGTGCTGTACGTAGACAACAAGGCCATGCTGGCCTTGTGTCGAGAGCAGCGTCTGGAGCACAGAACGAAGCACATTGCTCTTCGCTACTTCCTTGCTCGTGAGCTACAGCAGCGTGGACAGTTGCGGCTTGCGTACGTGGCCTCTGAGGCCAACACTGCTGATGTGTTCACCAAGGCACTCGCGCCTTGTGACCATCAGCGATTCTGCACCCAGCTGGGTCTTGTGCCTGTCTTGCCTCACTTGCTCTCCTCTTGACTTTACTTGTACTGTCACATATATATACCTGCTCTTGCTTGTCTAGCTTTATATATATATGTGTGTACTCCTGCATGTGAACTGGCCTTCTGGCCTTGCTCTTGTGCTCGGACTGTGTGGTGACTTTGTGATCCACCCTGAGCTTTGCTTTGATTTGCTTGACTGGTCTTGTGACCCCTTGTTCTCCCCCACTTTGCCTATGGGGGTGTGTCTGAACATATATGTAGCTTATGTTGTTGTGTAGGCTACAGTGGGGTATACCATAGGGGGTACAGCCCAATTAGGGTTTTGCTATTTGTACTCACTTCACTCATAGTTCATTCATTCTCGTTCTATTCTCCACATCTCATGCTTGTCACCCTTAGTTCCCCCGCCCGTCGCTTACTGGTAGAAGCCTAGATGTTCTAAGTTATCGCTGGTACTCTTGCTGCTCGGAATAGGCGGTTTTTGACGACCTGCATTACAAAACACAGTTTGGTGTGCACACCACAGCCCACAGTGGTCGCGCAGGAACCGAGCGACCCTTCCATGTGCTGCTTGCGACTTCTTTCACGTTTTGCCTATGAAAACCTGGTAACCACCCTGGTTCGGGAGGGAAAGTGTTAAACACCTCCAAATACTTTTTGTAATTCAGGCTTCGGGTTTTTACTAGATAGGAACCTCCAAAGGCGAGGTTGGGGGCTGGTCTACGGCTGCCAAGTCAGAAGGCAACGCGGGCCCACTAAGGGGGGGGGGGGGGGGGGGAAGTTGTCGGACCGAGCCTGGCCTTAAAAAACTGGAGTTGTACGTGTGGTAGCATGACTCAGTAAGGATTAAGTAGATCTATTACAGAGTTTTTATTCAATTGCACTTTCTTGTAGTGATGAGGAAGTAGTTCACTTTAGCGTCCTCTCTAGGAGTAATGTGCTAGTAGTGCAGCTGTGCGCTGTCTGAATGTTGGCTATAATGGGGTACCATGTGGTTTTGTCTCTTCACGTCATGTGTGGATCAGTTGGGTGAGCCGCGGCGCGAACTGGCACAGTCGGAGCTTTGGTTTGCGGGCACGGCGCCCTCCTGAGGATTATTCATTGGAGCACGTGGGCCTCCGTTACCACGTGAGCACTGTAGCATTCTGCAGGAGGCGAAGTCTGACTTCACTGGGGCAAATGCTCTCGTGAGAAGTGCAACAAACGACTTTTCGCGAAACACAATATGACTTCGCGGTGCGCTCGTTCGCATCGCAGCGCATCGGCTTGGTACAGTATTCGGTGGTCTTTGCAGCATTGCGGTGCCCCCACACCTTCCACCAGCCTTCCATCACCGCCTCGCTTTCTTTGTTGTTCTTTCGTGCGAACATTCACGACTGGTCACTCGTGTGTAGCTCTGTGCTACTAGTGCCCTCCCACTCGTCAAAGATTTCGCCACATCTTGCTCTACGTCCTGCTCCTCCTCTTCCTCCTCCGCAGTAATAATAACGTTTTCTTGTTCCTCAGGCCCCCCGAGGCTCTTCTACAATTTGGTCCTAAGAAATGGGTTGTCCTGACTTTACGGGACTGTACAAGAATCTTGCTCGCGCCATCATGTCGACTCACCAACAGAAACGCGCGTAGTGTAAGGTGCGCCACCGTGGTCTCTCTGTCCTTTCCTTTACCATACACGGTACACCTGATGCCTATTTCAGTCCCGTTCCCCATTTTTCCCTGTGCTCCTCTCTCGTGCACGCGCTCCCCATGGGGAGAATGGGACTGTATCTGGGTAGCATAGCGTGTCTTGTCTGGGAAACTCGAATAACTTATTCGAGGTCAAGAATATCTTGGTTTTGTCGTGGGTTAGTAACGCGCGGGCCGTTGGCTGTGAATGTCGACCACTGGGCGTATGGAGTGGCAGTGGCGTGTTCAGAGTGGGCGGTTGAGTGAGCATTAGGGTGTGAAGGTTTCTGCCAAGGTTTCTTCGCATATCGTTGGCTGTTGGGGAGCCTTTCTCAGCAATTCTGGGAAAAGCGAAACACGGATCCTCAGCAATGTCGCCAGCAACATCACATCACCAGCAAGGCATGCTCTCGGGTTCATAAATATCTGCGTCCAGATAAACTCGCGTGACGTCAGCAACATCATCAGCGCATTCCGTCCGCCTCACGCCACGCCTCTGGCATCTCAGATCAGCCCGGACCCTTCGTGTATGGATTCTCCTCCTCAGGTTCCACCGGGAAGACTGAGGGAGGGGTGGATGGGGCCCCGTTGAACATGGGGCGTTGTCTTGACGGGATGTGCGACCCACCCATGCCATAGGAAGGAAGGCTGGGCTGTGGGAGGGACGGACGGGCGACAAGCGAACGGATCATAAGTCATAAGTCGCATAGGTGAATGGTGGTTTAGTGCGTTCGGGTTCGGTTCAACGGGGTAACGAACAGAACGGGTTTGTCGGGCACGGAGTGTTGAGCCATGCGAGTGCGGCGCGACGAGACGACCCCATGCCGTAGCTGACGTGACACGACAGTGGAGCGTCACGTTCGCTCATTAACGCCGTTGATACTTTGGTCATCCGTGGCGCACCTGTGTTTACTATCATGATACTTCCCCTAGATACTCGCCGTGCCAGGTAGTGTACTGCTAGAACTTGAACCATCGACGTAGATACTTCCGCTCGTCCCATCTGGTCAGCATTGCCTCAGCAACGTGCAGCGTTTCGCGCCAGCCGCAGATGTACGGTAACCCCATCCATCGAACGGCCAGCTTTCGCTAGCACAAAACACCATCGCGCCGTGACGCGGAGATCCCGATTCCCGACGTGCCTGCACTGCTAGGAGCAGTGCTGCAGGGGGTACTGCATGACTCACCATTGGAGGATACTGCATGAGTCGCCATCGGGGGAGCATCGGCTGTCACATGGCGGCATTCTTATCTCCAGGGACACAGACAGACAGACACACAGACACATCTCCAGAGCCGCGCCACTCAGAATTCGGAAGTGTCAACTCCAACTCAGCATTGCAGTTGCCGCACGGCTCCGCGCAGCGTCGTTCCGCCAGTGTCGTTCCGCGCTTCCTCTTTCGCCGAGAAGCAGTCCCAATTCCTTCAGGCACTAACGCTCGTGCGAGCACAGCGCATCACAGCGCAGCAGCAGCATTAGCATTATCCCGATGGCATTTCACTTGAATAGTCGTCCTCGTACCTAGCAGCAGCAGAAGCATTGATTGCTATCAGTAATCATCCCAGTCGTTCCAGTTGTCCAAGCTGCTACCGCTGTAAAGAACTCTCTGAAGAGTGATTTGGATTCGTCCCACAACGTTTAAGTTAAGGGCGGAGGCAGACATTTCTTCCAATGATGGTCATTCCCCTTCATTCGCGCATCGACTCAGCTTCGTCTAAGCCAACCACAATCTGCGGCAACGAGCTCACTTCCACTTACCGCGTTTCATTCGAATCAGCACCGCTTTTTCAGGCTGAACGAGCGCCGTTCGATTATCTCCTCTCCGCCGGTCAGGAGCAGCATTTCCGGTGGCTGCGACCAGCCGCATTTCCCCACATGGCGGATGTTTCTCCACGCCACGCCGACAGTCGCCCTGCAGCGGCCAATGCGGCGGCGGCGTCGGCTCCATCGGCGCCGACGTGGTTTCTCACGGTGCACACGCAGCGCGCATTGAAACGGCGACACAGCGAGCAGGACGAGCGGGACGAGCGCGACGAGCGGCGGGACGAGCGGGATGCGCGGCGCAGCACCTATGGCGATGATCCGAGCCGTCTCATGTCTCTCATGCTCGCCAACTCCTCCTCCTCCGCCCACCCCGCGCGCCCCTGCTCCTCCGCCCACCCCACCGCGCGCCCCCGCGCCAATGACGATGGCACCGTCGCCGGCGCAAACCCCAGCCCGCGACCCCTCGCGAGTCTAGCAGGACCAGCTACTTCCCCGTCGGCTTTTTCACCGAGCGCCAAACCCACCGCATTTGCCGGCCTGGGAAGTCACGGTCGCGGTCTCGCCCCCATTCGTGCCACTCCCGCTTCGGTTCCCGCTTCTCATGCGAGTCCTGCCTCGTTTCCGCCGACGTCGCCTGCGCTCTTCTCTCTCCGCCACGCGTCAATCCCTCGCGGCGCGCTGCTGCCCGAGCTGCTCCTGCCCGGCCTGCCACGTGGCGGCCCAGGGATGGGCTCTCTGCCAGAAGCTCTTTTCCGCCGCCTGACGGGCTTGACTGGCTTGGCTGACTTGACCGGCATTACTGGATTGACTGGGTTGACTGGCTTGACCAGCATTACCGGCTTCACTGGCTTGACTCGCGCTACAGGCGCGACTGGCGCTGGCGGAAGCGGCGGATTCTCGTGCGCCCTGTGCGGGCGCACATTCCCCACGGTGCATGCGCTAGGGGGTCACAAGACCATGCACCGCAAGAGCATGCAGCGGAAAGGCATGCACCACGCGCAGACCAGCGCCGCCAGCACCAGGAATGGCGGCAACGGGAGGAGGAAGGGCAGGGGCGGCGGCGCCAGGAACGGCGGTGGCGGCAACGTGAGCAAGAATAAGGGCTGCAGCAGCAGCAGTGGTGATGCTGCCGTGAGTGGCAGTGGCGGAGTGAGGCATGAGGTGCCCTCGCCAGCACGCTGCCTTAAGAGGTGCAAGGTCGCTGCTGCTGATGTTGATGCTGCTGCCCAACAGAAGCTCTCAGAGCGCCCGTCAGCAAAAAGCAACACTACAGCAGAAGGCAGCACTCCAGGCAAAGCCTCTCCTCCCACTCCGCCCGTCACGCCGTCAAACGAGGAAGTTACGCCCGCTTCATGGGCCAAGGCAGGGCTTGCATTGGAGCCTTCAGGACCTGTAGACAAGGGCCTTCTGACCCTGGGGACTGCAGTGCTGTGTGAGGGCCATGCGGTGGAGAGCGGTGGAGAAAAGGCGAGCCCTACAGGGGAGCATGGAGATGTGGGGATGGTGGGCGAGCCGGCGGTGGGGGAGAGTGGCGGGGCGTGTGAGGGGCAGATGCGGGAGCAGCTGATGCAAGCCATCAAGGAGCGGCTGGCGCAAGCACAGCTGCTACAAGCACGCCTGCTCCAGACACGGCAAGCACTGCAGCCGCATGGGGGAAGCGGGCACACCTCATGTTCCGCCACCAATGTTGCTCCTCGGTCGCCCCCCGCACTGGTTCTTGGGGCGACCCAAAATAAATGCTCACAAGGGAAAGGTGCACTCATGTCATGCTCACCTGCTGCCATCGCCGCATGCTCGCCTGCTGCCGTCGCCGCATGCTCGCCCACGGCATTGTCCACCACAGCAGGGCCTGTGTGTGCGGCTGACTTGAACCTGCCACCCGCTGACGTGGCAGGGGGGATGGAGAGTGAGGCAGTGGTTGTGGAAAGCGAGGATGCGGATCTTGCCCTGGCTGCCATGGCCATCGAGTGCGAGGTGCGGGAGGCGCGGGGTCTAGATGCCAGTGCGGATCTTGAACCTGCCTCTGATGAGTGCATGGGCGAGGCTGACACTCCTCGTACCGCTCCTACTCCAGGCTGCAGTGCACACGGAAAATTCCCTGGCACAGCATGCCCTGCGGGTCAAGATGCCCATGCCGACGCCTTTGGGAATGCTCGTGGAAATGCCCTGGATGCGGTGTTTCTGTTTGCCTGCAACCTGGGGGCTGAGAAGGTTTCCGGTGCTAATGATGTTTTTGCTGCCAACAGCAGTAAGCTGGATGGTGCGGATAGTCGGGCCGGGTGCATAGATTTGACCTTGCACCTATGAAGAATGGAGTCAAGATTGTAGCCTCTAGCTGCATCTCCATGCACATACGGATTGTACTGTGGCCTGTTTCAAATGAGGTTAGGCTTCCAAATTAGAACATTAGGTCATGGATGATGGATTTCTTTGAGCAGGAACTTCCTACTGCTGGTGATCAGTCTTGACAATTATTATTACCGTATTAATAATGTGATACTAATGTGAGGACGACAGCCTAAAGCCTTCATACGGTACACCCTTTTCACCTAATGATGGATTTCCCCTGGTTTCGAGCTGGTTCACCGTAACTCGATATTGGATCTAATACAAGCACAAGATAGGGTAGGCAGTCACCTCATCAACATTGTATCCCATGTTGGCACATATCCCGGATCAACATCAGCTCAATACGCTAGTGAAGTAGATTTATGCAGACCGCAACCCATCAGATTTGGGAAAAAAAAACGAAATTTGATTTCAGCAGGGCCGCAATCTCATAACGAAGAGAGGCCATGTGGTATAAGCACACCATGCCAGCTCTATGAGACGCCTGGTCTTCAGGGAGCCTCAAAATCAACGGATCGATATCTGTACCTGTGACCCATGCACGCCACCTCATCATGGTCACGCACGAAGTCACCCGACGGGACGATCATGACGCTCGTGTCGTCATGGCTGCCCATGTCGTGATGACATATTAGAAGGCGACAACAGCTTTAGAGCATGTAGTGTGCCAACGAGATGACCATGACGCTCGTGTCATCATGGCTGCCTCGCTTCCCAGCAGCTTCCACCAGCTTTTGACAAGCCAGCAGCAGCGCAGACTTCACCGACTCTTCAGTCCCCTGCGCCTTGGCTCGCGAAGCAGCTTCCGCCTCTCCGCCCTCCTCCGATTCGCTCCCCTCGCTCCCCTCGCCTTCCTCGCTGCCGTCGCTGACGTCATTCCCGCAGTCCTCGCTGCTAGATGACACATCAGAATCCTCGGCCGAAGGGCATGCAGTGATATCCGGGACGTGGTTGCCCCCTTCTTGGGCCGATTCGGTAACCTGTTTTAGACTCCCGACAGCAAAAACGCTGCTGGTACGCTCTCGGGGTGTTTTTAGGGCAAATGGGTTGAGCTTGGCGTTGGAATCAGCGTCGGGGGAAGGTGTTGTGAGGCCGTCGTAAGATGCGGATTCTTTGCCGTCGGAGTTGAGAGTGAGGGACGAGGATTCGGTGGAGGTGGAGGAGAAGGAGGGGATGGTGGCCAGCGAGGAGTTGGCAGAGGGAGGGTTGTTGCGCTTGAATGCCTTGATCTCGGCTTCGAGGCATGATCGGGCAATGTCGACGGCTTCTTGATTGGTCACCTGAAAAACCAGGGGAAAAAGAGGAAAGTGAGTGGATGAGCAACAAAGAAAGATTAAATATATGGTCTCTAGATCTCGAGGTAGATTGATGAGAAAGTCGGTGTTGGGAACAAGTCAGGTGTGGGTAAGGACTTACGACATCCCAGAGTCCATCAGACGCCATAATCAGGAAATCGCAGTCTCTCGTAACGGGTACATGAACCACCTCCGGTTCCGGAGTGATGTACTCCTTATAACTTGCATCACCAAGGCCTCGTGTAACAGCCAGCACTCCCTGCACGCGCCATGTGCCTGTAAAATTATCCACGTGACCTCCCAGGTTTTCGACTCTGTCGCGCTCGTCTTCCCGAGACGCCTTGTGATCTGACGTCAGCACACTCGCCGCGCCCTTCCGGCAGAGCACGGCGCGGCAGTCGCCTGCATGTGCCACGTGAATCGAACCAGGGGCAGCCCAGCACGTCACCACAGCCGAACCGCTTCCCAGATTCTGCGGAGACAAATCGTGAGGGAAGTGAACGGTTTGAATAAAATCGATATCAGCAGGGCCAAGAAAATCCGGGTAGTGAGGAATCCATTTGCGAGGTGAAAGAGGAAGATCGAGGGAGAAAAAGTGGATGAGTGTGTTACCTGTAAAAGAAACTGTTTATCAGTCTCCTTAAAGCCTTCCACCAGAGCCGCTTCCGGGCTCTCCGCGCCTTGTTGAGCCGCCTTTAGAACGTTCCCCGCGATATTGCCTGCCGCGAATCGCGCCGCCATGGTGCCGCCATGACCGTCGAACACGCCGAAAAAGGCCTGATGAGGACAAAGCGATACGCATGAGAAACAGGTGAGATTGAGGCGTGGAAGAAGACAAACGGGAACACGCATGCCAGCATGTGACGATAGAAAAAGAGGGGGTGAGAGGGCGATAGAAGGCAAGTGGGGGGGAGGGGAAGGAGGGGGGGAAGGCGGAGGGTCAGGGGTAGAAAGCTACGAGAAAACTCTGCCAAAATATGACATGCACGCATCGGCGCGCAGAGCGCACACTCACATTTCCGGGAGACGTGCCGAACTGCGTAATGGCCTGGTAAGCATCCTCCATGAACTCGCGCCGCCCTTTTTTGCACATCACGGCGTACGAGTGACCCACCGCCACAAGCTCGCTCGCCTCCTCCGCCTCCTGTGCGCGCGTGCTTCGCGGTGTATTTCCCGGCGTATTTCCCGGCGTGGTTGTCGGCGACGCCGTGAAGGAGTCCTTTGCTGGGATGTTGAGCATGGGTGGCCGTTTTCGCTTCAACCGAGGATTTTCGTCGCGCTTGCGCAACGGCGAAGCGACTTTTCGCGAAAAAAGAGGCGAGCTCGGGCCCGCCTCCGACGAGCAGAGTCGCAGGCGACTGAACTCGCGCGACGTCGGCAGTCGCAACTTGGGGCTGATGATCTCGGGCTCGTCGCACGTGCGACTAGCACTGCTGTTGTTGCGCGACAGGCAGGCGCTGCTGCCCTGGCTCGCTCGGTCCCACGGTGAGTCGCCAGCGCAGGCGGCGATCGCAGAGTCACTGGAACGAATCGCCGACGACAATGCGACATCGCTCGTGTCCGAGAAGAGGCTGCGCGAACGCGGGCAGGGCCCGCGCGGAGTGTCGCAAACGACATGAAAAGCGGGGAAGGACGGGGCAGATAGCTGGCACAGAAGCACCGCGGACTTGTGCATCGCGTTTGAGCTGAGCGATCGGCCGGGCTTGGCCTCCGATTGGAGGTCGGTGCTCAAGGAACGTCGCTTATGCTCCCTCATTGCGAGGAAATGTGCGTGGCAGGAGCGGTTTTGATCAGGGGAGTGTCTGATGCAAGTACGTGAAGAGTTATTGCGGTAATAAGCGTGCTATTCGAATTAAGACGCGCTTGACATGTGCTGGTCCTGGAGACTTGGAGATGGGAACTAAGATTTTTAGCATGGAAACTGGTTACTCCAGGACTAGGGTTCCTGGTAAAAAGTAGTCATGAGTGACAAAGGAAACATGGAGATCGAGATAATTTAGCTGGAAAGCTATGGCTGTTGGGCGCGGAAGTGGTATGGTAACGCGTAGGGAGTACTAGCCAATGGAAGAAATCACTGGAGCGAGCAAGCAGAGCTAGCGCAACAGTAGGAAAGGAAGTGTAGGTGGAGGAGACGCGTTGAGAGTGAGAGAGAGCAGTGCACACAAGCGAGTGCTGCCCAAAGTTGGCGGTTCGGCCCAGCCTGCCAATGAATCTCTCCTCCACGGATGACGCACATGCCATGGATCGCGCAGGAGTAGAACTCACCACGAATCATGCTAACCACATCTAAACTGTAAATGCTCGAAACCTTATATATTGCGACTCTTGTTAGCTCTGTGAAGTTCGGATGCCCTCATGTTTTGTTAAACTTTGCAGCGTGCAGTGCCCAGTGGCATCCCGCCTTCTCGGCTCCCAAAGTTCGCAGAATAACGCATCTTTTCTTCCCACGCATTCGGGTCCCAAGATTCAGAGCAGCCACAAGGGTAATATACTTCCTTTTGCTGAAGTAAAATTTAATATCTACCCTACTTCTGCGACAGGTGATTTGAGGAGACATCTCCTTCTCAGCCAACAACGGATGAATCTAGGGTTCGCCGCTCCAGACATGCAAATTGGAGCTTGGATTGGTTGGCAGGTCTGTCCAAACCATTTGCGTAATCAGCGGGCCGATAAAAACTCGGCAAACCTCAATAACTTCCAATTGAAGATACAGTAACTCTCCAACTGTGCCCAAGCTCAAAAAGCCATGCCCCAAAAAGAAACGAGCTGGAATCCCAGATCAACCGATGACCCACAAATTGCGGAGCTCATGCGGTGCAGCGTTTCCATCCGGCGCAAGGCAAATTCGCGTGCACTGGTAGGGCATCAATTGTAATGTTCCTGCATTTTGAGTGGCGCGAGCCTCAGTCTCCACAACCTTCCATGCTCAAAGACATGGCAGGCAGCAAGAGTTAAATCTGGTACCGTTCAAACCCGAATCGACGGTGGTCGCTCATGCAAAATCACACCACAAGATGACACTTCCTTACCTACTCCAATAGTAACAGATTTTTCTGACAGCTGTTCTCAGGCTGTTCTAACAGACGTGAGGATGCGGTCAAAAAGTGATTTCATCAATTGGTGCAGTTTTGCATGCATGCTTGGCAAAGCGGATGCCCTTCCCGGCCCTGCATTTTTCGGGTGGTTGCTCCAGAATGGAGTATACACCAGTTCCCGCCATCATGGATTTCGTTTTAATGAAGTCAAGAGAGTAGAAGCATGGCTATATTATGTTTCGGTATGTTCATTTGGGCAAATCGAATAAGACAAGATCAGCCAGCCAGTTCCCGAAACTTCAGTATAGCGAGCAACAGGGTGTATCAATGTGAGATGAAATAACCTTTACAGGCGGATTCGTTATTCTTAATAACTTATGGTTAGTTAAAATCCCGAAGCACTCAAGATCAATGGCTAGTATTTCACCTGGTTCAATTGCGCATTAGGTTGTAAGGTCGCAAGTTCAAATCTCGCTAATTGATCGTTTTGCAGGGACCTGTATAGTGTTTCGTCTCGCGACGGAGCACTGAGTACCAGTATAGCTTGGATTGTACGCTGTACAGTCAGAGTAATGTGTTCCTTATGCTGTTTTTCAAAGGGTATTGAAAAACTTACACTTTCTGGCCTAGGGTAAAAAATCCACTACCCTGCCTGTGAAAAGGTAACTGAAAAAAAGCGGCCGCCAGTCAGTGCAAAAAGGGTATTTTACCCTGATAACGAGAGGCCTGACTTTGGCGCGCGCAGGCGGAGAGCATCACACTGACAGAATGAGGAATGGGTGTTCCATTGATGTTGGTTGGGGTACATATAACAAACCCTAACTTCTGTACCCCCTAAGACAAACCTCACTACAGGCTACAACATTTGACACACCCCCATAGCCTAAGTGAGGGGTGTCTAGCAAAATAAAAAAAGAGTACGGTCACAAGACCAGTCCAAAAGAAAACAAAGCTCAGGGTGGATCACAACGTCACCACACACTCTGAGCACAAGCAACAGTGGCCACAAGGCCAGTCCAAGAGATCACAAGTATATATAGTAAGTGTACAGACGAAGCAGGCAATAAACTCAAGTCTACGCATGACTAGAACCTGTGTCAACAAGGCCTAACTGCACACAACACCTCTGGTGGTCACAAGGCGGAAGCGCCTTGGTGAAGATGTCTGCAGTGTTGGCCTCGGACTCTACAAACTCGAAGCGAGCCTGTCCACGCCTCTGCAACTCTCGCAGAAGAAAGTACCTGACGTGAATGTGCTTCACTCTGCTCTCCAGTCGCGGCTCACGACAGAGGAGGATCGACGCCTTGTTGTCAGTAAACAAGGTCGGTGCAGAGCTCGGCCGCTCACCAAGGTCGGCGAGCAAGAAGGTCAACCACCGCAACTCCTGTGCCGCCATGGCACCAGCGTAAATCTCAGCCTCAGCTGTAGAGGTCGAGACAGAAGAGGAGCGCGTGGAACGCCAGGAAACAGCTCCAGAACCCAGACTGAAACAGTACCCCTGAGTAGACCTGTGAGTCTCAGCGTCGTCAGCGTAAGAGGAGTCACAGTGACCAGTGAGTACGACAGACTGCTGCCCTCCAAGAACTAGCCCCACGCCTGATGTAGTCGCTAGGTACTTCGCCACCCTCACAGCTGCCGTCCAGTGAACAGGATGGTGTCTCCCTGGCGCAACAAAGCGCGCAAGGATGCTGAGAGGGAAGGCGAGGTCCGGGCGAGTACAAGTCATCAGGTACATGAGGCAACCCACAAGCTCTGCGTAGGGACCACTAGGCTCAAACGGCTCGTCAGGAAAGGGACCAGTGAGTCTGTGGTCAACAGCTAGAGGTGTGCGCTGTACGGTGGAGTGCTGAAGCCCGAACCGCTGAAGGACCTGCTGCACCATGTGTGACTGTGAGAGTGTAATGGTGCGAGCGGCTCTGTCCCTGGTGATCTGCAGGCCAAGGTAGTGGCGCAGCTCACCAAGATCAGTGCACGTGTGTCTCTTCTGCAGTTCGGACTTCACGTCTGCCAAAGCAACCCTGTCCGAAGTGGCGAAAACGAGGTCGTCGACGTAGACCAGAACAAAGAACGGTGTGGAGCCACGACGAACGAACAGCGACGGGTCGGCAGAAGACGGCTGGAACCCAAGGTCAGAGAGGGTAGAACGCAGAGTGTCGTGCCACTCACGAGGGGCCTGGCGAAGACCGTAAACAGGTCGCCTCAGCCTCCACTGGGTCCCAGGAGGGAAAGTGCCAGTGAAGGCCGAGGGACGACGCAACCAGACCTCCTCGTGTAGACTGCCCTGAAGGAAAGCGGTGGAGAAGTCAAGAGAGTGTAACTCGTAGTCTCTCTGTGCTGCTACGTGTAGTAACACCCGAAGAGTGGTCATCTTCGGGGTAGGTGCGAAGGTCTGAAAGAAGTCAACTCCCTCGCGCTGACTGAAACCTCTAGCCACGTAGCGCGCCTTGAAGACCGGGGGAGATCCCGGTGGCCGCTTCACCCTGTAGATCCACATGCCGTCGACTACGTTCGCCCCAGGGGGGGGAACCTCATCGACGTAGGTGCCTGTGGATCTGTAGGAGGCCATCTCTGCGTCCATGGCAGCTCTCCACTGAGAGGCCCAAGGCCATGACACTGCCTCAGCGTAAGTGCGAGGAGTCGGAATGTCAAGGGCGTTGGGGTCACCCTCAGGGGCGAGGAGCATGGCATAGAGATGAGGGGAAGCGGCCGCCAGGAACTCTAGCTCAAACTGCCTGTCCTCTAGGGCGTCACAGCCAAGGGCAGACACACCCCCGACGGCCAGAGGACTGGTAGGAGGAGCAGCCACAAGCGTGGTGGCGTAGTCAAGGCGGCGGGTAGAGGCAAAGTCAGTAACTGCGGCAGTCAGAGCGGACACAGAGGACACAGAGGCACGAGGGTGAGTAACAAGAGAGGCGAGAACACGAGAGAGAACAGGACGGTACGTGCGGTAGTAGTCAGTGACAGGAGTAGGGAGCGACACAGTGAGGGCCGACTCAGGAGGAGACCTGATCACAGACTGAGACGGACGAGGTGGACTACAAAGAAGGAAGGCAGTACGAAGGTCAGTGAAGGGAACAGGAGACGAGGGACGAGCACGAGGGGAGCGACGAGTAGCCCAAGAACGAGACGGAGGAGGAGTGGACAAAGGCGGAGAACTGGGGAAAACAGCGGGGGAGGAGTCAGGAGGAGGAAACGTGGGACCGTAGACAGGAGGAGAGGCGGAGGAGGGAGGAGAAGGGGAGGGGAGACCAAGGGTCCGAAGACCCGAGACAGGAGGAGGAAGTGGCTGCTGCTGCTGCTGCTGCTGCGACTGCTGCTGCTGCGGAAGCGGCTGCTGCTGGGACTGCTGCTCCTGCGGGTCCAGCTGCTGCTGCTGCTCCTGCGGCTCCAGCTGCTGCTGCTGCTCCTCCAGCCGCTGTAACTCCCTCTCCTCTCTCTCCAACGCCAGCTGCTCGTCACGGGCACGGCGAACACGAGCCTGGTGCCTAGTCGGGTAGGGGTGGGGGGGCGGAGTAGTGTCCAAAGCAGCGGTAGCTCCAGAGTCCACCCCCGAAGAACCAGGCGCACCACCCCCAGAGGCAGCACTAACACCAGCTCCAGACCCAGGCTCGCCAGAACCCGAAGGAGGCGCACTCTCACCCCCAGTGTCCGCGCGACCAGCACCAGCTCCCGGACGACAAGAGTCCTCTGCACCCACCGGGTCAGCTCCAACTCCAGAACC